CCTTTACACCACCAACAGACAAGCAGAGAGCCAAATCATGAGTGAACTCCCATTCACAATTGCTACTAAGAGAATAGAATACCTAGAAATACAACTTACAAGGGATGTGAAAGACCTCTTCAAGGAGAACTACAAACCACTATTCACGGAAATAAGAGAGGACACAAACAAATGGAAACAAATTCCACACTCATGGATAGGAAGAATCAATTATGTGAAAATGCCATAATGCCCAAAGTAATTTATAGATTCAATGCTATTCCCATCAAGCAAAGACTGACTTTCTTAGCAGAATTAGAAAAAAACTACTTTAAACTTCACATGGAACAAAAAAAGGGCCCATATAGCCAAGACAATCCTAAGCAAAAAGAACAACAATGGAGGCATCACACTACCTGACTTCAAACTATACTACAAGGCTACAGTAACCAAAACAGCATGGTACTAGTACCAAAACAGATATATAGACCAATGGAACAGAACAGAGACCTCAGAAATAACAACACACATCTACAACCATCAGATCTTTGACAAACCTGACAAAAACAAGCAATGGTGAAAGTATTCCCTATTTAATAAATGGTGCTGGGAAAACTGGCTGTCCATATGCAGAAAACAGAAACTGGACCCTTTCCTTACACAAGTATTAACTCAAGATGGATTAAAGACTTAAATATAATACCCCAAACCATAAAAACCCTAGAAAAAAACCTAGGCAATACCATTCAGGACACAGGCATAGGAAAAAACTTCATGACTAAATCACCAAAAGCAATGGCAACAAAAGCCAAAATTCACAAATGGGATCTAATTAAACTACAGAGCTTCTGCACAGCAAAAGAAACTATCGTCACAGTGAACAGGCAACCTATAGAATGGGAGAAAATTTTTGCAATCTACCCATCTGACAAAGGTCTAATATCCAGAATCTACAAGGAACTTAAACAAATTTACAAGAAAAAAAACAACCCCATCAAAAAGTAGATGAAGGATATGAACAGACACTTCTCAAAAGACAACATTTATGCAGCCAACAAACACATGAAAAAATGCCCATCATCACTGGTCATTAGAGAAATGCAAATTAAAACCACAATGAGATACCATCTCACACCAGTATTGGCCGGGCGCGGTGGCTCAAGCCTGTAATCCCAGCACTTTGGGAGGCCGAGGCGGGTGGATCACGAGGTCAGGAGATTGAGACCATCCTGGCTAACATGGTGAAACCCCGTCTCTACTTAAAAAAAAATACAAAAAACTAGCCAGGCGTGGTGGCGGGCGCCTGTAGTCCCAGCTACTCGGAGGCTGAGGCAGGAGAATGGCGTGAACCTGGGAGGCGGAGCTTGCAGTGAGCCGAGATCGCGCCACTGCACTCCAGCCTGGGTGACACAGCGCGAGACTCCGTCTCAAAAAAAAAAAAAAAAAAAAAAAAAAGAAAAGTCAGGAAACAACAGTTGTTGGCAAGGATGTGGAGAAATAGGAATGCTTTTACACTGTTGGTGGGATTGTAAATTAGTTCAACCACTGTGGAAGACAGTGTGGCGATTCCTCAAGGATCTAGAACCAGAAATACCATTTGACCCAGCAATCCCATTACTGGACATATACCCAAAGGATTATAAATCATTCCACTATAAAGACACATGCACACGTATGTTTACTGCAGCACTATTCACAATAGCAAAGACATGGAACTAACCCAAATGCCCATCAATGACAGACTGGATAAAGAAAATGTGGCACATATACACCATGAATACTAAGCAGCCATAAAAAACAATGAGTTCCTGTCCTTTGCAGGGACATGGATTAAGCTGGAAGCTATCATTCTCAGCAGACTAACACAGGAACAGAAAACCAAACACTGCATGTTCTCACTCATAAGTGGGAGTTGAACAATGAGAACACATGGACACAGGGAGGGGACTATCACACACGGGGACCTGTCAGAGGGTTGGAGGCAAGGGGAGGGATAGCATTAGGACAAATACCTAAAGCATGCGGGGCATAAAACCTAGATAACGGGTTGATAGGTACAGCCAACCACCATGGCGCATGTATACCTATGTAAGAAACCTGCACATTCTGCAGGTGTATTGCAGAACTTAAAGCACAATTTAAAACAAAAAAAAACAAAAAAACAAAACAAAACAAAAAAAAACAGGCCGGGCGCAGTGGCTCAAGCCTGTAATCCCAGCACTTTGGGAGGCCGAGATGGGCGGATCACAAGGTCAGGAGATCGAGACCATCCTGGCTAACCCGGCGAAACCCTGTCTCTACTAAAAAATACAAAAAACTAGCCAGGCGAGGTGGCGGGCGCCTGTAGTCCCAGATACTCGGGAGGCTGAGGCAGGAGAATGGTGTAAACCCGGGAGGCGGAGCTTGCAGTGAGCTGAGATCCAGCCACTACACTCCAGCCTGGGCGACACAGTGAGACTCCGTCTCAAAAAAAAAAAAAAAAAAAAGAGGCCAAAATGTTAAGAATGCATTGTGGGCCGGGTGCAGTGGCTCATGCCTGTAATGCCAGCACTTTGGGAGGCTGATGCAGGCAGATCACTTGAGGCCAGGAGTTTGAAACCAGCCTGACCAACATGGTGAAACCCTGTCTCTACTAAAAATACAAAAATTATTTGGGCGTGGTGGTATGCACCTGTAATTCCCACTACTTGGGAGGCTGAGGCATGAGAATCACTGGAACTTGGGAGGCGGAGGTTGCAGTAAGGCCAAGATTGGGCCACAGTGCACTCCAGCCAGAGCAACAGAGCAACAAAGAAAGAGAGAAAGAGAGAAAGAAAGAAAGAAAGAAAGCCAGCCAGCCAGCCTTGTGACATTCATATATTTTAAAACATTCTATGAAATGAAATTGCAAATACAGTGAGAATGACTCTTCTATGTATTTTCTTGCTTTTTTTCCCCTTTCTTTTATACTGCCCTTGTATGCCATATGCAGCAATGGCATAGCCTACAGTGCAGAAAATTTGTAAATATTCCTCAAATACTACCAGGTTTAGTGATAGACACTTTCAATTAATATCTTGATGAGCAGGAAAACCATTTAAAGTGATTTGAGCTCGAAAAGTGGTCAACAGCTAGAATAAGGTTCAAACGTATTACACAGTAAAGGAGAAACTAGCTGAAGGCTACTTCTATAAAACTACAAGCCTGGAGGCTGCAGTCATAAAAGACTTCCTTACCTACTAAAACAAACAACAAAAGCAGCAACAAAATTTACGATTCATTTCTGGCTCAAAATTTTCTTTTTCTTTTGAGATGGAGTCTCACTCTGTCGCAAGGCTGGAGTGCAGTGGCGTGATCTTGGCTCACTGCAACCTCTGCCTCCCAGGTTCAAGCGATTCTGCTGCCTCAGCCTCCCAAGTAGCTGGGACCACAGGCACATGCCACCACACCCAGCTACTTTTTTTTTGTATTTTTAATAGAGACAGGGTTTCACACGTTGTTGACCAGGATGGTCTCGATCTCTTAACCTCATAATCCAATTCTGGCTCAAATATTTCTATTCCGGTTGTTTGTGGCTGCATTGCTGCCCCACTGTGGCTGACTGCCTACATAGCCTCAATTCTTCAACTTTGAATGTACATTCCTCCTTCACTAGATAATCCTGCAATACCCAATATGCTGCCACTCTGATCGGATTCAGCCATGTGATTTGTTTCGGCCAATAAACAGGATGACAGTAAATATGATGTAAACAGAGATATTTTTTAATACCATAAAAAGCACTTGAACAGCTGGACTTGCTCTGTTTTGCTCTCTGCCATCACCAGACCCCAACTATTGCCCTCTGCTTGGCTAGTCTGCTGGTCCTAGCCAGAGGAGAACCTACACATCGGCATCCTTGTCGTCTCAGCTGAGGCCACTTTAGATGAGCCAACAACCATCCAAGCCCAGGTGAATAGGCGCAGCCAAGATAATCAAAAACACCTAATTCACCTGCAGCTGACCAGTCCACAAGTGAGCCCAGCAGCGATCAGCTGAAACCCACAGACTCCTGAGCCCCCAAAATGTTTAGTTTTATGCCGCCACAATTTTGTGTCTTCACATATCATAAAACCAACAGAAAATTGACACACCCATAATATCCAGACTCCCTTTGGAAAGACTTTTTTACTAAGAGGGAATCAAATCTCTGTGAATAATTACCTTCAAGCAAATACAATAAATATGCCATAATTTAATGGAGAATTAACACTTTCTCAATTCCTATCATGATCAATCTTTAATCTTCCATATAAACTGAAAAACAATTTGCATTAAACATCGCAACTCCACAAAATCAACTCTTCTTATTTCAGGTGCTTTATTTTAGGCCCTAGTGGTATTTAATGCATTTTTCCTTCAAGAGTTTTTGTTACCACCTTAAATTCTTTTCAGGCAAAAAAGAGTATAAATAAGCAGACAGGCATATCCTCTCTAATGAGTATTACATTCCTCAAAATTTAAACAACAAATATCCTTTTCTTTTTTTTGATTCTCATTCTCAGTATTTAAAAAATATCCTTTTCTATTAGAGATATTTCTTAGACCAAAATGATAACTTTAAATAGCAAATATTCTATATGTATGTGTATGTTTATGTATTATAGAACTATGTTTATATATCTTAACATACACATATTTCACACTTTGATATTGTACTGTGAAATTAGTTTTTAATGGCAGAATATATATTAATAGTTTAAACAAGTACTAAATCTTATATGAATATGAAATAATCTCTAAATGTATTAAATTTAATTTTATAACAGAAGTCTATAATCATATTAGGAAATTGTAAAATTCAAGAAGGTCTTGAGACAGTCTTCATAAATGATCATTGTCTACTGAGCTTAGTATGTAATGACTGACAGACATAACTGAATAGTTTTCATTTTGGCTGAATCTGAACTAAATGAGACTGTGAATGGCTCTATGTTTCAGAAATTACACACTGTGAAATATACACTACTTTGAGAGTGGTTTTGCTGTGAAGACGGTCTCACCTGATCATGCATTAGTGCTGCAATGTGTGTTGTTTTCCCTCCAGGTGCTGCACACAAGTCTAGAATCTTCTCTCCAGGTTGAGGATTTAGTACATGAGTTACTAAGGCAGATGGCAAATTCTATAAGGAAAAAAATGTAATTGATTATCAATAATCCTAAAGCATTTCTGAGAACCAGAGAATATAAAGAATCTTTTGGGGGTAATCCACTATAGCATCCTCACGTCTGCCAAGAGGATGGTTTTCATAAATATACTCAGGTTAGGAAATTCACAATTTCCTAGAATATCCTATGATCTCCCAGGACTTACATACACACCACCTGCACAAAAACATACATGACACACTTTTCACTCAACTCAGGGTTTCTGCCTTATCAGTATTTTCTGGGTACCAGCAAAAATAAATAAATAAATAACCCACATTATTTCCTTTTCTGAATCCCAACGGTTCTCAACATTCTGGAAGCCAGAGACCTCTAAAATTACACGACTACTCTGGATCTTTTTCCCAAAAAACATACAAAATTTTGGTCTCAGTGGTCACTACTCAACATTTTAGTGCAAAAGCATGCCATTTTCATATAGGCATACCATCTGAGAGTACTTCAGTCTCAGCACTGTTCACTTTAATAATTTAAACTCCACTTGGGAACACATAAATATTAAATAACTGGTTTCTTCCAGTTAACCAAGAATATAACTTTGCCATTTTGGCCACCTTGTCATCTAACTCTCATTTAAGACGCCTTGTTTTATGCTGCTAAATCATCCAAAAGGCATGTTTGGGTCCCTGCCTCCACCACATTTCAATAGGAAACGAATTAAAATGCAACAAACAAACAAACAACAACAACAAAAAACCCCCAAACCTGGCTGTTTCTGACTGGCACCTAAAAATATATTATGAGATTATATGACCAAAACATACCTCATCTATAGCAGTAAGTCATATTAAATCATTAATTTGTTATTAGTATTAATTATATAAGGACTACTTACTATAGAATGACAGCCTTGAATAAAACAGATGGAATAGTATCATAAAATAACTCATTTCTAAAATTACTTGGTAAGAAAAAGAGAGTCTAATAAGCATGGAGTTATTTATTTGGTTATTTTGGAGACAGAGTCTCATTATTTTACTTAGGCTAGGCTCAAATTTGGGATCCTCCCAATTGTGCCTCTTAAAGCTTAAAGGTTTCAATTCATTCTTAACAAAAGACTGAACAATACATCCATGAGTACATCCTCAAGAACTGTGAGATGGCCAGGCGTGGTGGCTCATGCCTGTAATCCCAGCACTTTGGGAGGCCAAAGCAGGCAGATCGCCTGAGGTCGGGAGTTCGAGACCAGCCTGACCAAGATGGAGAAACCCAGTCTCTACTAAAAATACAAAATTAGCTGGATGTGGTGGCACATGCCTGTAATCCCAGCTATTCAGGAAGCTGAGGCAAGAGAATCACTTGAACCCAAGAGGTGGAGGTTGCAGTGAGTGGAGATCATGCCATTGCACTCCAGCCTGGGCAACAAGAGCAAAACTCCGTCTAAAAATATATAAATAAATACAAATGACATGTACCCCCTAATATGATAAGGACACTTCATCTCTGTGGTATTCTTCTCAAAAATCCAACAACCCCAGCCTAGATGAATCCAAAATGAGGGACATTCAACGAAATACCTGAGTCTCAAAACTGTCAAGGTCTTAAAAACAAGGCAAGACTGGGCAACTATCACAGGCCAGAAGAAACATCATGATTAAATGCAGTGTGGGATCCTGGATTGGATCCTAAACATAAATAGGACATTATGAGAAAAACTGGTGAAATCTGAATTCACTTGGAGTTTATGGTAATGTGGTATTCACAGCATTTGCAGTTATCGCCCACAACATTCGTAACATAGTAACACACCAGTGTTGGTTTCTAAGTTTTATCAAATGTACCATGGTAGTATATTACCCTTAAGAGAAACTAGGTGAAGGGTATATAGAAATGACTATCTTTGCAAATCTATAATTCTAAAATTCTATTCTGTAATTCTGAAATTACTCTAAAATAAAAACTTTTCAACCTTATGAGAGAAAGTAGGAAAAAAATCTTTATTTAAAAAAAAAAATCCAGGAATAGACTCTAGGTACCTATAGCACAAGTTTTCCAAGTGATTTGATACATACAAATGTACTGCAGTCTTGGTGAATGGCGTGATTACATTATAAAATTTATGAGATAACGAGGCTCCCTTTGTTGGCTGAGACCTGTGAAAGGCTTGGGCATCTTCCATATTAGATCTAAGTTAATCAATTTCTAAAACCAAAATGAAAACTGCTAATTATGGCTACCAGGAGCTTCTTAGCTATTAGAGAAGTAAAGCATGGATACTGACAAAAGCAAAAATAATTTTCAATTTGTTATTAAAGTATCAGCAACTATTGCAATGATTTAACACTATTGAAAAGTACTTCATTTAAATGATGCCTCTCACATGATGTACTTTTAGACACTGTCATTTAATCCACTTTATAGTCACTTGAATATTCAAGTAGGTTTGTCTGAAAAGAAAGGCAACTTGTTGAAACATTCCAAATGCGTTTTATATTACCATTATATGTAAATGTGAAACTTGTTCCATCTGTGAGAATCTTTACGTATGTAAAAATTTAAGGATAATAATACATTTTTAAAATTCCACATTCTTCTTAAACGTACTGTTCTGCACGTTCTTTCAGAATTTTCCTTAGAGAAACGAGTATCACCTGGTTCTGGTCTGCACTGAATTAAGCTATTTAGATTTTATGGATAAGACCCAGTTAAGAATCTGGTAGTCCTGAACCAGTTTGAAAAGGAAGATATAACATAAAAAGATCAACTAATACTAACTCAACACTGACCACAGAGTTTTTGGGAAATTGTCAAAGAAGCACTTGAGAAATTTAATGTAATATGTGAACTGTTTAAAGTCCTCACCCCCTGAACTTGGATCTCAGTAAATCTAACTTAGGACCCAAGAACTGCATTTTCAAAAGGCCCTGCAGGTGATTCAGATGCAGATCTTCCATGGGTTACTTCTGGAGCACTGGCATGGGGCCAAAAATATAGGCTTGAAATCAGAAAGACCTGGATTCAAATTTTGACTCTGCAAATTTTTACCTATGCAGCATACAGCAAACCACTCCTCTAATCGCCCAAAAACTACTAATGCCTACCACGCACTTTAATTTTCTAAGCCTCTATTTCCTTCTCTATGAAACTGATGGTTTGTAAGAAGTAAATGAAAAAATATACGTAAAACACTCAGCTCAGTACATGGACCACAATAATAAGCACTCAGTCAGTGTTAGCTGCGATTACCATTAGTATCCCTTATAAGTTTCACTGGCCATCAGAAACTGCCCATCAAAATAGACTACATAAAATAAAACAGCTTTCACTAGAGAAACGACAAAAAGTTAAACTCTGCCCTCAGACACAAAAGTTTTATTCTGGCAGGAAATTCTTATGTCCCTTGCTATTAGGTGACAAAGAATATGGCTCTATGGTAGTCTGGACAGTATGAATCACAAAATGACTCACAATATTTCATAAAGTCATCATTAAACTGATTTTAAGACGAAAGAATGCTGCTACAGATAGCAAAAAATGTAAAAAGAAAATTTGCACTATACTAGATTTCTTTTTATAAACTCAAAACTAAATAATGACCAGGCACGGTGGCTAATGCCTGTAATCCCAGAACTTTGGAAGGCCAAATCGAGATGACCACTTGAGCCCAGGAATTCAAGACCAGCCTGGACAATATGGCAAAACCCCATTTCTACTAAAAATACAAAAAATTAGCTGGCTGTGGTGGTGCATGCTGTAGTTCCAGCTACCCAGGAGGCTGAGGTGGGAGGATCACCTGAGCCTGGGAGGTTGAGGCTGCAGTGAGCCAGGATCATGCCACTGCACTCCAACCTGGGTGACAGATTAAGATTCTGTCTCAGAAAAAAAAAAAAAACACAAAACAAGACAAAAACAAAAAAACAAAACCCACACACACTTTAAACTATGAGATGAGCAGGTACTGTCAAACCACACAGAAAACTAACATTGCATTAAACATTACTAACTTGAAGGAGTGCAGGTACCACTAGCAATGACTCAGGGCTACGTTGCCAAATGAAAACAAGTGTTTCAAATAAATTATATAATAAACAACCACGAAAAAAACACTGAAACTAAAATTAGCAAACAAAAATCCCCAAAATGATTCATAAACAATTATATGTTAGATTACATATTCTAATGTGTTAGAACATCACCAATGTGCAATTAGATAATAAACATCTGTTTTTCCATTTGTTCACACCAGAAATAATCTCTGAATTCATAAAATGTCTGTTGGCTAAATACTGGGCAAAGGCCAGGTATGGTGGCTCACGCCTACAATTCCAACACTTTGGGAGGCCAAGGCAGGAGGATCACTTGAGGCCAGGAGTTTGAAACCAGTCTGGGCCACAAAGTGAGACCCCATCTCTACAAAAACATCAAACAAATCAGTGGGGCATAGTAGTGCACACCTGTGGTCCCAACTATTTGCGAGGCTAAGGCAGGAAGATTGCTTGAGCCCAGGAGTTCGAGCTTACAGTGAGCTATGACTGTACCACTGTACTCCAGCCTAGACAACAGAGAGCCTGTCTCAAAATAATAATAATAATAATTACTGGACAGACAAGGTGGGGCAGCACACAACATTTGGACTTAAGGTTTGAATTCAGATACCACCAGTTACCAGTAGTGTGACATAGGACAAGAGCCCTAACAGATCTGGTCTTCAGTTATCTTCCTCTTATATTGTGAGTTATAACACTACCCATCTAACAGACTATAACAAATCAAATGATTTACTAATGGAACACTACACATGTATATAAAATGCATGCAATATTCAGGGATTAATATTTTGAGATGGAAAGCAGTATATTTAATCAGTTATAAATCACCTTTGGGCAAAGAAAGATAGAAAAAATAGTTTAAAAATCAACAGAGAAAAACCAAAGAAAGAAGAATGCTTGTAAAGTTTTTTCTTACTGCTTAACCAAAGGTAGATCAGTGTATATAAGCAGACTCCAAAACAAATCTTAAATTTTAAAAAATCCCAGATTTCAAATAATTCACTGATGTATGTTTCAATGTCACTAAATATTTTACTTTTATACATACTTACTTGTAAAAATAAGTAACGGGGCAGTACATTGTCAAATGAAGGGCTGAGATATACTGGTTCTGTCATTCTTATGCCCATGCCTCTGAAAAATAGGAAATCTAACATTAGTCGTATAAATTCCAGGGTCTATACAAACTATGTTTCCAGAAACATTCTCAAATAGCCTGTCAAACATAAGATGCTCTTTTAAAGAACTCTTTTGGCCGGGTGCGGTGGCTCAAGCCTGTAATCCCAGTACTTTGGAAGGCACAGGCGGGAGGATCACTTGAGGTCAGGAGTTCAAGACCAGCCCGACCAACATGGACAAACCCTGTTTCTACTAAAACTACAAAAAATTAGCCAAGCGTGGTGGTGGGTGCCTGTAGTCCCAGCTACTTGGGAGGCTGAGACAGGAGAATCACTTGAACCTGGGAGGCAAAGGTTGCAGGGAGCCAAGATCGCACCATTGCACTCCAGCCTGGGCGACAAGAGTGAAACTCTGTCTCAAAAAATAAAAAAATAAAAAAAAGAACTCTTTTATTCAACAACAAAATACATAAAGTAGTCCTGTTAATTGTTTTTGAATTTTTACCCGCAGAATAGGAAGCCATCAGAACTAAAAAGGAAAAAGTTACATAAATTTTTCATTTAAGCACAAATGTCTACAGAGACTTGAACAGACTAAAAAGCAAACACTACCTCATTCTTTACTACTTCCTGTCAGCTCTTTATAGAATAATTGCCCAGTACTGACACAATCCCAAGGATAACCTCTTCCACCTTTGTCCCATTTTAGGAGTGGCAGTGGAACTGATCAGAACAGGAAGGGCCAGGACTCAGGATGGCCTGGTGGAGAGTGACTCATCAAGACAAACATCACAATCTCAGAGATGTTGTCAGAGGCTACTGAAGCAGAGAAAGAACACCCAAATCCTGTCAGACAAAGCCAAGCCTGGCCTTGTGTGTCAGGCCAAACCAGAGAGAGCAAGCAAAAGGAGAAATTCAAAGAGTGTTCCGGGGATTAGGACAGCACAGAAAAAAGTACAGTCTAAGTATAAAAATCAGGATTTAGGCCGACACAGTGGCTCATGCCTGTAATCCCAGCACTTTGAGAGACTGGCACAGGAGGATCACTTGAGGTCAGAAGTTTGACACCAGCCTGGGCAACATCTCTACACAAAATTTAAAAAATGGCCAAGGCATGGTGGAATGTACCTGTAGTACCGGTACTTGGGAGACTGAAGCGGAGGGATCCCTTGAGCCCAGGAGTTGGAGGCTGCAGTTTGTTATGATTCTGCCACTGCACTGCAGCCTGGGCGGCAGAGCACCCAAATAAATACAATTTTTATAAAATGGTTTTTAAAAATCATGACTTAAACCTGGTTTAAGGGTACAATCAAAGGAGAGACCCATTAGGATGAGCAAAGATAAGTCTTAGAAGCAGTATAGTAGACAAGTTCATAGCTAGCTTATAGAACAGCTTATGAGTTGATCTTGGCAGAGATGCATCTACACTGATGGTGTGTACTCTATCTAATGTTGGCAGGATAAGTTTATGTTGGTCTTTACAGTAAAATAACGTCAGTAGATATCTGTGGACTATTACTGCAGTGTATGATTATAAACTCCCCTTGGTTTTGTTGTTTATTTATTTATTTTTAGACACAGGGTCTCACTCTCTCACCCAGGCTGGAGCACAGTGGCACAATCATAGCTCACTGCAGCCTCTAACTACTGGGTTCAAGTGATCCTCCTACCTTAGCCTCCCCAGTAGCTGGGACTACAGGCACACACCACCACGCCAGGTAAGTGTGTGTGTTTGCGTGCATGTGTGTGGACAAAGTCTCACTATGTTGTGTGTGTGTGTGTGTCTGTGTGTACAGAGTCTTACTATGTTGCCCAGACTGGCATCAAACTCCTAGCCTCAAGCAATCCTCCTGCCACAGCTTCCGGAGCTCGTGGGATAATGGGCATGAGCCACTATGCCTGGCTCCCTCAGCTCTAACAGCCTTTAGCATATAATAAATGCTGACTCCTTTTCCTCCTCTTCCCACCCCTTTACCACCTTACTCATTTGTTTACCACTTGAAATCCATGAATGTGCACTTTTAATCAGAGGTTAAAACTCAGTCACTGCTCCAGTCAGGAACAAATTAAACCACTGTATTCACTTCCAAGGCAAATAGTCCCTGCCCCTGAGCAGAAAATATACAAACGAAGCTTCTGAAATGTCACTGACTCACATTTGAAAACCAGTCCTGGCTGGGTGTGGCATCTCCTCCCTATAATCCTAGCACTTTGGGAGGCCAAGGTGGGAGGACTGCTTGAGACCAGAAGTTCAAGACCAGACTGGGTAACATAGCAAGACCCCCATATGTATGAAAAAATAAAAATAAAATATCAGCTGATCATGGTGTCATGTGCCTATAGAACTAGCTACTCAGAGGCTGAAGTAGGAGCATCACTTGAGCTCAGGAATTCAACGTCACAGTGAGCTTTGATCGCACCACTCCAGACTTAGTGACAGAGCAAGACCCTGTCTCTAAAAGAAAAACCAAAGCAAGTCAGTCCTTTGTTGTGACACCTGGTACTCTTACCTTGATCAACACCCAGAATCTACAGCTATTATTGAATATCTTGAATTCCAGAGTCTGATCACTCCATAATTTAAATGACTTTCTGACTTGCAGGACTCCAGTCCTCTAAAAAAATACTGAAACTTGAAAATGTTCACACCTGTCATCCTACTCAGTTCCTAACTGCCACTTTAGGTTCTGGTGCTCTTTGACTATCTCCTTCTGAACATGCCTACCAGAACAAGTGAGTGCTATAAATTACTGAACTCAAAATAACATAATAAAGAATAATTTAAGCCAATTATTATTCAGGTATGAGATTGCATGTTTCTTTAAAAAATATTTCTGTAGGCCGGGTGCGGTGGCTCAAGCCTGTAATCCCAGCACTTTGGGAGGCCGAGATGGGCAGATCACGAGGTCAGGAGATCAAGACCAGCCTGGCTAACACGGTGAAACCCCGTCTCTACTAAAAAATACAAAAAACTAGCCGGGCGAGGTGGCGGGCGCCTGTAGTCCCAGCTACCCGGGAGGCTGAGGCAGGAGAATGGCATGAACCCGGGAGGCGGAGCTTGCAATGAGCGAGATCCGGCCACTGCACTCCAGCCTGGGCGACAGAGCGAGACTCCGTCTCAAAAAAAAAAAAAAAATATTTCTGTAGCCACATATCTCCATATTATAATGCAAAGTATAAGATTGCATATATTAATGCAATCTGTTAGTAAATTAACCTGCCTTCATGAATCTATGAATGATTCAACCCACCTGGAATTCAAGAAAGCAAAAGGCTCAAATTCACTAACTGAAAAACAATTGTACCATTAGTTGTGTTGGTTTAAAAATTTTTAAGGAACATAAATAAGAAACAGGGTGTACATGTAGCATTTCTGTCATAGCAGCCTGCTTCTCACACAGGAAGAGACAAAACTTGCAAAAGTGTAACTGAATACATTGAGTTTAAACATCGATTTTTTTTTTCCTTTTTTGACATTCTGAAGTCTCGCTGTGTCACCCAGACTGGAGTGCAGTGGTACAGTCTCGGGCTCACTGCAACCTCCTGGGTTCAAGCAATTCTCCTGCCTCAGCCTCCTGAGTAGCTGAGATTACAGGCACCTACCACCACACCTAGCTTATTTTTGTATTTTTAGTAGAGATGGGGGTTTCACTGTGTTGGCCAGGCTGGTCTTGAACTCCTGACCTCAAGTGATCCGCCTACCTTGGCCTCTCAAAGTGCAGGAATTACAGAAGTGAGCCACCGCGCTCGGCCAAAAGTTGGCTGAAAGTTGTTTGCCTCCTAACTTCCAATAACAAAAAATTATTCACAACATTGTTCAGAAAACATTATTCAACACAATAACTGGAACCACATCAAATAACCTAAGAGAATGAAGAGTATACCATTAACAATGAACTAATGGAGGCAGTCAAAATATCAATTACCTATTACAGGTCCAAAGATAAACATAGCAGATATATGCATAATCTTTATATTCATGAAGCCTTCTAAGGAGAATAAAATCTTTGTTCTTGGTCATTTGGAAAGTGCTGCTACCTAGATCTAGGGAATCCAACAGTCAACTTCAGAAGAACGAATGAATTTCAACTACAAACCCAAACTGTTACAACATGAACAACTGTTCTACCAATCAGGGATACTGTCCAATTGTAAATAGAGAAATTCACAGTTTTTAGCATGTCTATGTCAGCCATGAACTTTGGAGTAATGGAGCTGTCCACTGAACTCAAAACAGCCTGAAAAAACTAAGTAAAATAAGAGCCTGGACTTTCCACCAATTTATTTAGGGCCACTAGCAATCAGAAATGATTTACAACAGACTGTATTTTAATTTAGTTTGAACAAGCCTAAACATTCATTTTTCACCACAAATATTCATGTGAGTGCTAGGTTTCTGGTAAAATTTATTTTTAATTAAAAAATATGTTTAATTTATATTAAAATCAAACTTTTTCTTGACAAATAAGAATGTTAAAAATGATCTGGATAGGATGAGCGCAGTGCCTCACGCCTGTAATCTCAGCACTTTGGGAGGTCGAGGCGAGCAGATCACGAGGTCAGGAGATCGAGACCATCCTGGCTAACACGGTGAAACCCCGTCTCTAGTACAAATACAAAAAATTAGCCGGGCGTGGTGGCAGGCACCTGTAGTCCCAGCTACTCAGGAGGCTGAGGCAGAAGAATGGTGTGAACCTGGGAGGCAGAGCTTGCAGTGTGCTGAGATCATGCCATTGCACTCCAGCCTAGATGACAGAGCAAGACTCCATCTCAAAAAAAAAAAAAAAATGATCTAGATCGATCATCGAATTCATTCTTCATCAAAATGAGCATTGTTTTTTAAAGATGAAAATATTTCAAAAACAATAAAATTCAGAAGGACAAGTAAAATGATTTGACAATTAAAATGTAACTGGTTGCCTAATGTGGCTCTTTAATTTGATCAGTTACCCTTTTTGAACAAAAATCATGGATATATGGGTAAAACAATTTTTTTCCAGTTGGATTTATAGCAAAAAAAAACCTCATATAATGCAACTAGATACATTTTACATTATTTGTAATTTTCATTGACCCACAAAAAGGATGCTGATTTCCCCAAAACACCTGATGACATACTTCAGTTCAGGTAATCCATTGAAGATTTCCTTGCGGCTTAGTTCAGAAATCCCATTTCCAAGAAATACTTTTGTTCCATCAAATTCTCTGGCTCCTTTCTTACATTTTCCTTTAATATCAGAGTATACAGAAATAACATCTCCAGCTTTCATAACTAGAGAAGGAAGAAAATCAGATTACATTGAATTATACTTTGGCAGAAGAATCGTGAACATTCTTTGAGCTACACTGGCGATCTCTAGAGGCATCAATAGTGGGCATGAAGCAGTTCAAACTGGCTCATTATCTCAATATAATCTTTAATAGAAAATCTGACGTTTACTTTAAAATATTCCCTAACAATAAAACTCACTGAAGAATCTTTTTCAGTGAAAACAAAGAAACAGAACAGCTTCAAAACATCCTGCCCTCAACTGGAAATCTGTAGCTGATCCAAATTATTTCCCCCACGTCTTAAAAGAGTTCTTATAAATCTTGACATCTCAGCTCAAACCTCGAAGTTCTAAGTTTCCTTCAAAAGGATTCGTCAAATATGTACCCTAAAATCCTTCAAAGAAATCTTCTCATAACCCTGTTTGTATTTCTTTGCTATTTTGCTGTGACAGCACAATTAAGGCAGAGACTTTAATGATAAACATATAAAGCCATTCATATATATATACACATACACATGCACACATATATATGTGTGTGTATACACTTAGAATACCTTTTACAGTGTATACAGTGTACAGAGTTGCTTTACATGGCTGATTAAATCCAGTTTTTGTAGGCATTTCAATATTTTCTATAACAACTCCCAGTGGTATTTATGATGGGAAATTATATTCCACTTCCAAAAAACATTTTTAAAGCTAATCTATCATAAATTTATTTGGCCTATTACCTGACAACAGTAGTGAACAGCCTATTAGCTAGAGCTAAGAAAACTGTTTAAAATAATGTAGATCAGATGTCAATACACTTTTCCTACAAAGGGCAAATAAATATTTTAGGCTTTGTAGCCACATAAGGTCTCTGCGGCATATTCTTCTTTATATATGTATCTTTTCACAGCATTTTAAAAATGAAAAAACCATTCTTAGCTTATGGGCCACACACAAACAGACATAGGCCAGATTTGGCCAGCAGGCAGTAGTTGGCCCAATTCTGATACAGATCAAATCATTCATTTCAAGGACACCATAACTGAGGCCCAGATACTGAATATCTTTTCTACAGATCAAAGCAAATGTTTCTTGATTTCAAGTCCAATAAGGTACCACTGAACCACAGTGACTAGCTTACTAAGCATATGCAATACAGGTATGTCGCCAACTGTGTGAATACATTAAGAATACTAAGTTTCATCCCAATGTTCAGATTCCAGGTTCTGGATGTTCTCTCACTAATGATACGACAGCTTTCTGAGGTTTCAAGGCAATGCAGTCAAGAAAACAAAACAGAAGTTCACTGACGTACTCTCTATTCATCAGTAATGATCCACTAAAACAACCGTCATCAAATATATCCTTATTTGGAAGGAAAAAAAAAACTGTCAGAAAACCTTATATGATGACTAGTTAGTCCTCATTGGATAAAACCCTAAATGCAAAGCTGGAAAAATATCCGACCAAGGTAAATTTGGAATACATCTTAGTGACAAATCAATAAATTTTCCATTTGAAAATGCACATAAATTTTAGAGAACCTTAAAGACAAATCTAAACATGATACTTACACTTTGATGCTGACACAATTCCTGGGGCATAGACATGGGCTCCTCTTAAAACTGCATTGCCACACTGGGCTCCAACAATGGCTTCACACTGCTGTTTTTTAATATTCTTCCTAGAAATGTAAGACACAAGAAGTTTAATAGTAAACATACCTCCAATGCCTACCAATTTTTCCCATGTTCTGTCTGAACGCGAATAGCCTCTTTAGTCTTAATTGTCCTGAATACATAAGAAAAAGCTGAAAAAAGAGGCATACATAATGAGGAAACAGGAAAAAAACAGCAACACAGAGATGGGCACTTGAGAGGAAGGAAAAATCAAGAGGTCCATCTGGTGGAAGGCAATACAGTGGCACCAGAAATTGCTTAATCATTTAACAAGCATTACTGTTTCTCATAGCATTAGAAGAAAAATAGACTTTCTCTGTCTTCAAAGACTAAAATAGAAAAATACACAAGGAATTACAAAAACATTTCTAAAGTGGTAAATTGTTGCACGGTAAATTATGAATAATTTCAACAAGACAGGAAAAGAAGATAAGCATTTTTTCCTTCCTTTGCTGCCCCACCTTTTTGAGTCTTTTCCAATTTCTCACATTCTATTCATTTTTTAGACCACTAAAATCTGTATTACTTCTAACACTCAGGGTTCCAAAGATCAGGGACCGAATGTGATCAGCCCTAAATAAAAACCCTTAACACTGAGTCTCTAATAAGCTTCCTTGGATGGCTGTCACAACTCATTGCTAGGGGAATTAAGTGCATCCCGTCTTCTATTCCATGATCGCCAAATCATCAAATCTTACTAATTTTTCAGCTTTATACCTACTCCTTCCTGGTCCCTCCCAAACATTCTCATTGCTCATTCTCTGCCTACTTCTTAGAGGCCCTCCCCGCCAGCTTCCAAAACATGCGACCATCTGTGCTCACCTTGCATTCTATCCCTTGGCAATCTCATGACTTCAGTAATCACTCACAAAACAATCCACAAATTCTAATGTTTAGTCTTTCTAGATTTTTTTTTTTTTTTTTGAAGCCAAGTCTTGCTCTGTCACCCAGGCTGGAGTGCAGTGGCACAATACTGGCTTGCTGTAACTTCTGCCATCTGGGTTCAAGCGATTCTCATGCCTCAACCTCCTGAGTAACTGGGATTACAGGTGCCCGCCACCACACCTGGCTAACTTGTATTTTTAGTAGAGACGGGGTTTCACCATGTTGGCCAGGCTGGTCTCGAACTTTTGACCTCAGGTTATCCACCAGCCTCAGCCTCCCAAAGTGCTGGGATTATAAGCATAAGCTACCATGCCCGGCCTAGACTCTTAGTTGATATTTCTAATTACCTATGGACAGCTATATAGAGATGTCTCACAGTTACTTCAAACTCAGCAAGTCCTAAACAATGTTAGTTTTCCCTCATCCATATTTCCACTCCTTGGCAGGATCCCAAATCTTTTCATCCTGTTTCCAATCTTGAATGAGGCATCATTATCTGCCCAGATAACCAAACTAGATGCCTCAGTGTTACGGTCTGGATGTGTCCCCCAGTATTCATGTGCTGGAAACTTAATCCCTAGTGCAACAGTGTTGGAATGTGAGGCCTACTGGGAACAGTTTAGGTCATGAGGACTCTGCCCTCATGAATGAATTAACGCTATAATAAAAAGGGCTTGCAACAGTGAGTTTGCTCTCTCTTGCCCTTGTGCCCTCTACCATGTACGGATGCAGCAAGAAAGCCCTCACTAGATGCAACTGCCTTGATCTTGGACTTCCCATCCTCCAACACTATAAAAAATAAATGTCTGTTCTTTATAAATTATCCAGTCTCAGGTATTGTTACAGCAGCACAAAATAAACTAAGACACTCAGCATCATCTTAAAGCCCTCCTAAGCCTTGACATTGATTGATTTAGGAATCATGCTATCTTCTAGTTCTGATAGGTCTTGTGGGCCTATCTCCTGATGTTAGACACATATCTCTTTGTGATTACTGAAATAGCTTCCTGCCTTTTACTATTGGTTTCAGGTTTTCTCTATGTCTTTGGTGTTCTGCAGTTTCACTCTGAAGTATGTAGATATGAACCTACTTTTACTTTTGGCTTCAAGCTCACATTTATTAAATTTATCATCAATAGAAATTCAAAGTCATTACATTTGTGATTATTGTCTTTCCCCCATTATTCCTATTCTCTATACCTGGGACTCATTAAAAATACAAAGTGCTGGTCAGGTGTAGTGTAGTGGCTCATGCCTGTAATCCCAGCACTTTTGGAGGCAGAGGCTGGTGGATCACCTGAGGTTGGGAGTTCTAGACCAGCCTGACCAACATAGAGAAACCGTTTCTACTAAAAATACAAAATTAGCCAGGCATGGTGGTGCCTGCCTGTAATCCCAGCTACTTGGGAGGCTGAGGCAGGAGAATCACTTGAACTCAGGAGGCGCAGGTTGCAGTGAGCCAAGATGGTGCCACTGCACTCCAGCCTGGGCAACAGGAACAAAACTCCATCTCAAAAAAAAAAAAAAAAAAGGAAATATAAAGTGCTCTTTTCATGACTCAATTTCACTTTCATATTTTTAATTTCTCTCTGCTGCATTCTAGATAATTTCCTAAGGGTCATCTCCTAATTCAAAAATTCTCTAATCAGTTGGGTCTAATCTACTGTTTAGTTCATTGTATGAGTTTTTAATTTTAATGATGATATTTTTATTTCCAGAAATTTGTTTTCAATTCTACCTTTTTATCCTTAGGGTCTTTTATGTTTTATTCTTTCATTTTTAATCATTTTAAGAAAACTGTTTTGTCTACGGCCGTACCACTCTGAAAATGCCCGATCTCATGTGATCTTGGAAGAAAACTATTTTTATAGTCCCTGCCAGAGAGGTCTATTTGTTAAAAGCTCTGAGGGAAATCTAATCCTGCAGCTTATTATATATGATGATTCTCACCGTGGTTTGATTCCTAGTGTAGCTTTTAACAATGCGAAGTGTTTGGCTTAGATTGAATGAGTGCTGCTCCAGAGTGATGTTACTTTGTTTTTGCCAAGCACCCAGGAATTGGCTAGGGATCAAATAGTTAATTTCCCAGTTTGCAAGTTCCAAGACAATTTAGGTTGCAGCAATTTGCATTCCAGACCTTTATGAGGGAGGGAACTTACGGCTGTGTATTCTCAGTAACATGTTTTTCTCCAACCTATATCCTAAGGCAAGAAAGACCTACTTTTCATTACTGCCTTGTACTGACTACTGGGTATTTCTCATCCTTACTATTAACACTCTGTTGTTTAAAACCAAAGAGCCTAAATTTAGAAGACAGACCACCTCCTTTCCCATACTTCCAACCCCCCAATATTAGCTCACATGCTTGCTGTTCTCTTTTCAATTATTCTGCATTTCTAACCTCTAATATATCAACTACATTTTTAATCACTCAACTACATCATTTTGTGGCCTACTATGTTCTTTTTCACTTAGCACTCCTAGGTGTATGTAGCGAAAACATTTTCATGTTATCTAATTCACCATACATATGACTGAAGCTAAAAGACTCTGAAATACCTTCCCAACTTTTCTCCAGGTTTGCAATTCATCTTTCGAAAAAGTTTCTGAAACTTTTGACTGTAAGTTGATATAAGAAACACGCCTGATAAAAGAACTTATTTCAAGTTCTTACATCATTTGAGAACTTGATATAAGAAGCTACACATACATGTCTGTATGTGTGTGGTATCACTCACATTTCATTAAATATTTTTACTACGTGCAATGCAATATATTATAAAACATCCCATTTATTTTTTAAAATATTCATTGAAAACATTAAATTGATTTCACAAGTTACTAATGGGTCATGATCTCTAAGCAGTTTGGAAGACTACGACCACTATTATATTTCTAAAATACACAAATACACATCTAGTCATTACTAATAAAAATCTTTTTTTTTTTTTTTTGAGACAGTTTTGCGCTGTCGCCCAGGCTAGAGTGCAGTGGCGTCATCTCAGCTCACTGCAAACTCTGCCTCCCGGGTTCACACCATTCTCCTGCCTCAGCCTCCTGGGTAGCAGGGATTACAGGCACCTGCCACCACACCTGGCTAATTTTTTGTGTTTTTAGTAGAGAGGGGTTTCACCATGTTAGCCAGGATGGTCTCGACCTCCTGACCTCGTTATCCACCCGCCTCAGCCTCCCAAAGTGCTGGGATTACAGGCATGAGCCACTGCGCCCGAAAATAAAAATTCTGTAGCTTCTAAAGTCTATGAAAAAAAAAATTCCTTAGTAAAAAAAAATTATGCATACTTCATACCTGCCTCTCCCAACTTCTTCAGTTTCATCTTTCACCCATCCCCCAACTCTGAAAACGAACAGCCAAACCTGATCACTTTTATCAGGAGCCACCATATTTTCATGCATTCATGTCTTTCCTCATGCCTTCTCTCTGCCTAGCACAACCTTGCCCACCTTAACAGCCCTTCAGCCTAATTTCTCCTCACCTTCAAGGATTAGATGAAATAATACCTGCTTGCAGAAAATATTTAACAGTTTCTTTGTACTCAGTCCTTCCTATTCTATGCTCCAATGGCATTTAATTTACACTTCCACTGTGGCTATCATAACACTTTGACTTGTACCAAAGTCTCCCGACTTAAGACTACAGAACTATGTCTCATTCATCTTTGTAACACCAACACATCTCACATATAGCACAAATTCAAAAACATGTTTTGTGAAAGTGAAATCTGTGGTGTTAGATTTTATGAAAATAACAGGGAGGGGAAAAGATGAATTCCGGAACAGAGAACTGTGGAGAAAAAGAGTTAACAGAGTAGGCCTGATCTGTTATCTTTGAAAAGCCTGCTTATAAGGCTGGCCCTTGACTGACCTCTGGGAACTGAGATTTCAGGAGGGTTCCTTATTAATTGGTAAGAGTGGCTCACTGTGCCTGAATTACTGAACAAACTATGATTTATGGTAAATACCAGCTTTCCTTCTGAAAATCTGGAATTTGGGTATGTACCAGGCAGTGGGAATCTACATGATGAGCCCTGAATAGGAATCTTGGCAGTGAGTCTATGTGGTCACAACTCATCACTGGAGGATTTCCTGTGGGAGTCCTGTG